ATCAGAGTTGTCGGGGTCGATCTGTGGCATTTTAGTGTATGTAATTGTGAATTGTCGTTAACAAATATGAGTAAGATGAGATAATAAAAATCCTGCCCTTATCAGCTGTCCTGCGAAAAACAACTACCTACGCTTAAAACAACCTACACATAAAACCACCTACTCTTATGACCACCTATACTTACACCCGCCTACGCTTACAACTACCTACGCCTACAACTACCTACGCCTACAACTACCTGAGGCAAGCAGTCTTCGACGCTGTAACGGTCTGTGCCACTGGTTGTGCGCTTGGATGTCCTATTTCGGTCCCTAAGCCCAAAGTTGCTGTGAAAGGTGCAGTGCAGAAGCATCGGATGGTTAATGGCCGGAGATTCTTGCGAATCCGATCACTGAAAACAGTGAACGACCGGTTGATTGCATAGGGAGGACCAACGCGCACCTGAAACATAAAAAGGGACAGGGCTAACATGCCCAGGACATTCTGAGCAGGGCCGTGCACTCTACGTCGGAATGCAATGTGATTCATAGGCGTCACCAGTCGACTAGGTATTTGTATGTGTTATTTGTCGTGTGTTGAGAAGCTTTGTGCACGATCACACGTCTGCTGCAAACACAAAACACAAAACACAAAACACAGAACACAGCTGTACGCAACGGTGATTTGCGCGCTGCAAACGAAGTACAACTGAGCCTAGCTCTGTACGAGAACAGTCTCTGGTAGCCTCAAATTAAACTATCTTAGGTTAGTTTCAGGACTATTCAAACGATTTGGGATAGTTTTGAACCATTTAACCTTGTGACGGCGCACGCACAGGCTTTAACTTTCGACAAAGTGGATCGTAAGGTATTGGCAACAACACGTGCTACGTACGACGAGTGAACGTGCTTGTGATTCATAAAGCAATCGTTGGACTCAATTATCACCTAAGCGTATTGAGTACGGTACAACACAAGACTGTCAAATGATTGCCAATGGAATATAAATCAAGTGTTTTAGATAGAATGTATGACAGGAGTGGTATACACATACAACCCCCCAACAACAAAAACACACACAAAGTGGATATACATAAGCCCAAAAAAAATCAAAATTGTATATACATACACTGAAAAATGATACCCAAATTGTAAATACGTGTACCAAAACAACATACCCAAATTGTAAATACACACGACCAAAAAACATACCCAAAGTATATATACATACACCCAAACATACACCCAAATTGTATATATATACACCCAAAAACATACCCAAACTGTGTCACACTCGATCTCAGCGCAGCGCTGTGCATACTACGGCTTCGTTTTTGGTACGAAACGGTATGTCTACCCTCCACAAATCTGTTGGGCAACGTGAGCGAGTGCGCCAGACCCGATTTCGAGCTCGACTTTTTGGGAATGTTTTCAGAATCGGGTTTGCTCTGCAGCAATCTGACAATAGGCATGGCCAGGTACTCACCAAACGTCAGCACATCCACCACCAGCGTGAGCGTCCACGTGGCCACCATGAAAAACCAGGTCTGTGTACGGGGCAAAAGAATCGGGTTTATGAGACATCGTTTAGTATGTAGACTCGGTCAGATTCGGAAATGTCGGATTTTTGAGACGTCGTGTGGTATAAAAATCAGTCTCGGTGTGATTCATGAGTATTGTTGTCACTAGGTTTTTGCATGAACCCCTAATTTAAAAGTGGTGTTGTGTATGCAATGTATAGAAATTAGTCGGTGTGCGTTTCAAAAGTACTGGATCATTGGATGTTGTGTAAGTATCAACGTATTTAAGGCCAAGTATATGCTACCCACTTAGCTCTCTATATATTGAACCTAGATAGGAGGTGGCTGGCAAACGAGCATATATGCATATCTCAATACGCAATTGCAATATCCACCACTGCTGAGCATAAACGTTTTAACACCAATTGAATGGCTTGGTCACTGCAAATGTCGCAGTATAAACCGTTTTGAATCTTATGCATCACAACCTCAACACGCCCTACACAATAGGTAGGTAAAGGCTAAAACGGGCTAGGTGAAACCCTATACCCTAAAACAGGTAAGGTAAACCCCTAAACTCTAGAACTGACTTAGCGAAGTGATTGATGAGATGGTTGCCGTGCTGGAGGTGGAGGTAGGCGAAAACATATTCAAGTTTTTAGCCGGTTCAGTAACGTTTCTTATAACACAAGAAAGTGAATAGCCGGTCTCTAACGATTCTTATAAAACAACAAAGTGAATAGCCGGTTCAGCTACGGTTCTTATAAAACAACGGTTCATAATGGTTCTTACAAAACAAGAAAGTGATTAGCCGGTTCAGTTACGGTGCTTATAAAACAAGAAAGTGAGGGGGAAGACGTATTGACATACCAGGGCCTATTCTCGAGACAGTAGTGTGCTGCAAATGAGGTACTACATGCTACCATAGGCCCCCAACGCTGGCAATATCATCTACGAAACCCAGGTGTTTCTCTAGTTATTTTGCTTAAAACGAAAGAATACCAGGTCTTCAAGGTGGCATTTCAGAGGTATTTTTGATACTATTCTGATGTAGATTGTGCCGAGCCTCTGCAAAAGCCGGCTGTAGCCTCAGAGCTCAAAGAAACAGAACAACCAGTCTGAACAATATGCCAATTAGGCCTAGGACCCGTGAACATCAGAGCTACTCTGTATGATATTCTACATCCCGATTCACTTTTACCAACCCATTTTCGGGAATACTGCCATTTACGGCCAACAACAGGTTCATTATTATAAACCACGCCTAGTTTTCGCTACAACATTCCAGATACAAATGCCACGTGCACGATACGCTTGCGGTCGAGGTCAATAGATCACAGTTGCGCATTGAACGTACCCTTTTGCCGTCACCGGTTGAGGCTTTGGCATTCGCAGGCGGTTGTGTGAGATCACCGGCGCGAGTTTCACGTGTGTCCTCACTGAGCCACTCACCGAGTTTCTCCACCACTTGTATCTGTAGACGAGAATAATCCAATTTAGATTATATATATATATTGTGTATTTATATATATATAT